GGGGGGGGGGGGGGGGGGTACGGTGCTTCAGAAGTGCTTTTGCCCCAAATGCAGTTTAATTTGAAATTCTAGATGATTCTTTGGTGTTCTTGCGTTAAAGAGGAGTGACGCATCTTGCGGTCACAGCCTCAGCACACGTGTGCGTCCAGCTGCCACCTTGGGCGAGCCGGTTCGTACAGCAGCGTGAGGCCGTGGTGTCAATGCCGCCCCGCACGCCAGCCACTCCCGGCACCATCAGGCCATGGCTGCCCGACCAGAGTGAACGGCGCTCTCCCTGGAGAGCCCACTGCAGCCCTGAAGGGGTGGCGTGTCTTCACCCGGCAGAGGACAGTCTCCCTGAATGGCCTCCAGCCAACAGCAGCTATGGGCCAGGCTCCTCGGAGCATGCCTGAGCCCAGCGCTGCAGCCGCTCCGAGGCTCCCATCCAGGCCTGGGGGGCCGGGGGCCACTGTGCCCCCAGGAGAGGGCCCTCGCTCTCGTGGACACGGGCACTTACACTGCATGGGGCAGGGGCAGTGGGCGTGGCCGGCTCCCCGTGGGCACCAGGGGGCCCAGTGTGTTCGGATGCGCTTCGCTCCAAGGTGCTGGGCTGGAGCATCTGCACCTGGTTTTCCTGTGGGACATCCCCGGTCATCCAACATCCCCGTTAGCAAACTAGCAACTCCAGGCCCGGTCTGTGTGAAGACGAAGACGGAGGCAAGTAAAAAAAGAGAAGTGCCTTTGGGGGCTCTACGGAGGCTCAGGAGAAAACTGCCGTCACGGCCTGTGGTCTGTGACCGCGCCCATCAAGACAGTGAGCTGTTAGCATGAGCCGCAGATGGGATGGGGCCGCCTGCCATCCGAGCTCAGGCCCTGGGGGCTGACAGAAGCAGGAAAAGTTGGTCCGGGTGAAATGCTACTTGCTGCTCAGCGGATGGAGGGAGAAAGACCCCTGGGCCAAGTGCACAGCTGGGCCCCCGGGAGCGGGAGGGCTCTCGGGACTGTGGTCACACCCAGACCCCAGAGCTGGGCCCGCTGCGCCGTCCGACCCCTCCTGGCAGGTGCCGTGTCCCCCTGCTCACGAGGTCTGGCTGCCATGCACACAGAGCGGCATCTCCCGACTCACGCCTGTTCCCGCAGGACTACGTGCTGGCCGTGGACGCGTACCGCGCGGTCATCCAGTTCCACCCAGAGCAGGAGCCCCAGGTGCTGAGCTGCATCGGCCGCATCTTCCTGCAGGTGCGGGGGGCTGGGGGGCCGGGGACTGCACCCAAGCCGGGTCCTGTAGGTCCAAGGAGCGCCGGAAGGGTGTCACATCAGTTTTCTGTTGCTGTCAGAAGGCGGATTCTTTTTTGGTCCTGGTTTGACTGTACTGAGTGTTGAGCCTCCAGCTTCGATGTCATGGGGAAGCCACTTGCTACACGGCGGTGCAGAGACGGTGACTGAGGCATTGCTCTGTTGCAGTAGAAATGTGTTGAAGTGAGGAGCTGGCCTCCATGTGCTCCTCTCCCGCCCCAGCCCCCAGGGCCCCTCACGCCCTCCTCCCCAGGATGGAGGGCAGAAGCAGGTGGGAGCGTGTTCACTTTGCACCACAGAAACACTCAGGGCCACGCCCCCCAAAACCCCACGCTCCAGGGGAGGGCCCAGCGCTTTGCAGCTGCAGTCGGTCTGGGTTGTGCATGTGCGCGCGTGTGTGTGCATGCATGCGTGTGTCTCTGTGTGTGTGCGTGTGTATGTGTGCACGTGTGTGTGCATGTGTCTCTGCACATGCGTGTGTGTGCACATGTGTGTGTGTGCGTGTGTCTCTGTGTGTGCATGTGTCTGTGCACATGCGTGTGTGCGCGCATGCATGTGCGCGCGCGCATGCGTGCATGCATGTGTGTGTCTGTGCACATGTGTGTGCGTGTGCATGTCTGCACATGCGTGTGTGCATGCGTGTGTCTGTGTGCACATGTGTGTCTGTGTGTGTACATGTGACTGTGCACATGCATGTGTGCATGTGTGTCTCTGTGCATGTGTCTGTGTGCACATGCGTGTGTGTGCGCGCGTGTGTGTGTGTGTGTGTGCACGCCCACTGTTCTCAGGAGCACTTGGTATCTGTTTTCTGTCTTCTTAGAAGTAGCTTGCTTTTTCTCTCTCTGTTCTCAGATAATTCTAGAATTATCTGTTGCTGGAAAATGTGAATAAACTGGCCGTGGACGCGTACCGCGCGGTCATCCAGTTCCACCCAGAGCAGGAGCCCCAGGTGCTGAGCTGCATCGGCCGCATCTTCCTGCAGGTGCGGGGGGCTGGGGGGCCGGGGACTGCACCCAAGCCAGGTCCTGTAGATCCAAGGAGCGCCGGAAGGGTGTCACATCAGTTTTCTGTTGCTGTCAGAAGGCGGATTCTTTTTTGGTCCTGGTTTGACTGTACTGAGTGTTGAGCCTCCAGCTTCGATGTCATGGGGAAGCCACTTGCTACACGGCGGTGCAGAGACGGTGACTGAGGCATTGCTCTGTTGCAGTAGAAATGTGTTGAAGTGAGGAGCTGGCCTCCATGTGCTCCTCTCCCGCCCCAGCCCCCAGGGCCCCTCACGCCCTCCTCCCCAGGATGGAGGGCAGAAGCAGGTGGGAGCGTGTTCACTTTGCACCACAGAAACACTCAGGGCCACGCCCCCCAAAACCCCACGCTCCAGGGGAGGGCCCAGCGCTTTGCAGCTGCAGTCGGTCTGGGTTGTGCATGTGCGCGCGTGTGTGTGCATGCATGCGTGTGTCTCTGTGTGTGTGCGTGTGTATGTGTGCACGTGTGTGTGCATGTGTCTCTGCACATGCGTGTGTGTGCACATGTGTGTGTGTGCGTGTGTCTCTGTGTGTGCATGTGTCTGTGCACATGCGTGTGTGCGCGCATGCATGTGCGCGCGCGCATGCGTGCATGCATGTGTGTGTCTGTGCACATGTGTGTGCGTGTGCATGTCTGCACATGCGTGTGTGCATGCGTGTGTCTGTGTGCACATGTGTGTCTGTGTGTGTACATGTGACTGTGCACATGCATGTGTGCATGTGTGTCTCTGTGCATGTGTCTGTGTGCACATGCGTGTGTGTGCGCGCGTGTGTGTGTGTGTGTGTGCACGCCCACTGTTCTCAGGAGCACTTGGTATCTGTTTTCTGTCTTCTTAGAAGTAGCTTGCTTTTTCTCTCTCTGTTCTCAGATAATTCTAGAATTATCTGTTGCTGGAAAATGTGAATAACTGACCTCAAAGAGGCCTGAGCCACACTCATGGGGTTTGTGGGAACTTATTAACAGCTTTAGTGTTCCATGTGTGGGAGAGATTTCTTCTCTGTTTCTCAGATCAGCTTGGCAATTTAGAAAGGAAAGAAAGAGCGCACATCTGCTCCATGTGTTCACGTGTATTTGCTTAGAGTTCTTTAAAGCAGTCCTCTTCATAATCATTTCAGCTTCATGTTACCTGTGGTCATTTCTCCTCTTGTATCTGTGATTCTGCTTTACTTATGCTTTCTTTTCCTTGATTAGTTCTTCCACTTATTATCTCATGTTTTTTCTTCAATAACTAGTTTGGGTTTGTTTATTTGCTTACTAGATATATCACAATACTTTTATTATATTGCCTTTTAATTACCTTTTTATAGAATCTAACCACTTACTTTCTGATGCACTAACAGATGTTGACATCCTGCTCGGTCCTAAATGGCTTTTGCTATTTGTTTTTTAATGAAAAATGATAGTTAGTAAGTAGTTACCAAAGTTTTACCCTGCCTGATTCGTAATTATGTCTTCAGTATCCTCACCTGACATTAGGGAACTGTATGCGTGGATGTAGATGTAACATTCATCGCCTGAATTGACTACTTCATTTTGTCAAAGCAGATTGGAGACATAAAAACAGCTGAAAAGTACTTTCAAGACGTAGAGAAAGTAGCACAGAAATTAGATGGACTACAAGGCAAAACCATGGTTTTGATGAACAGGTGTGTATTGTTTTTTCTGTTTTCCAGCTTTACTGAGATTAACTGACAGCACAGTGCAGGTTTGAGGTGTGAACAGTGATGACTTGGTTTCCATACACTGTGAAGTGATCCCCACAAAATAGTGAACACCCATCATCTCATACAGATGGGAAATTAAAGACAGAATGCACTCTCTCAAAGTGCACACGTAACGTAGAGTGGTGGCGATATTCACGGTGCTGTACACCACACCCCGGTACTCATTCACAACTGGAGGTTTGTCCCTTTGGCCCAGCTTCATCCCATCCCTGCCCTCCTCCCCGGGAACCACAAGCTGAGTCTTTCTCTGTGAGTTTGTTTGGAGTGTCGTTGACCTGAAACACCATTCGTTCCTGTTACACAGCATAGTGACCTGGTCCTTCTCTGGCTTTCGAACTGATCAGCACGACTAGTCTAGGTGTGATCTGTCTGCCCACTAAGATAAGGCTTTATTACGGGCTGCATTCCCCGTGCCCTCCCCGCGAGGTTCCAGTTCCTGGAGCTGCCCCCTCGGTGTCCCCGCCACACACCCGCCTGCATCCCGACTTCTGATCATCCTTCCCGTGTCACTTATTCGCAGAGCTTTCCTTCACCTCGGTCAGAATAACTTCGCGGAAGCGCACAGGTTCTTCACGGAGATCCTGAGGGTGGACCCGTCAAATGCAGTGGTAAGACGCCCCGGGCAGAGGTGGCGCGTCTGCTGGTGTCGGGCACCCTCACAGGCTGGGATGGCCTAGCGCCCCTGCGCGCCACCCCCGCCTGCTCCATCAGGCGGGCTGCACACACGGGGTGCGCACAGCGTGGCGGCCGGGCTGTCCCGGGGCCATTCCCAGCAGCCTCAGGGAAGAGCTGCCCACGTAACACACACGGTTCTCGCCCTGAGCCGGAACGTTCTAGAGACTCGTAGAGGTCGGGCGCAGAGGGCCCGTTCCCCCCGCCCCAGAGCTGCAGCTCCGCTCTGCTCCCCGGGGCCTTTTCCAGCCTCTGCTGAGCCCCGCGGAGGAGTCTGGTGCGGGGGGAGCGAATCCATTCTTCGTCCTGCGCGTTCCCAGCATGGGGGGCAGGGGCGAGGACACAGGCTCGCGTGTGCAGTGGGGGGTCCTGCTCCAGGTCAGGGGGTGACTGTTCTCAGCTCTGGGGGCCAGGGTCTGCTCTCACGTTCACATGGTCACTCCTGCCTTTACAGTGTCTGACGCACCTGGACTGAAGGACCCTGGCAGGGGCCCTTTAAGTTACCCAGCTCTGCTCATGCATTTAAAACAGAGTTCCCTTAAGATTCTGACATAAACGTGTATTGCATAAAGCAGAGCCAAGCCCTCTTTCTAGTCATTTCCGTGGTAAACACACAAACGCAGCATCTCCTGGGCAGACGGTCTCAACGCAGTTGTTGAAACGGATCAGTTACCCTGTGAAATAGGAGAGACAGGAGAGGCCGCCAAGAGCACCAGCCCAACACCTCCAGAGAGAATGAGGGGCGCCTCCGGCTCACGCAGGGAGGGGACCCCCTCCCCCAGAGCGTCCGCAGCCTCTGGGCTGACACTTGTGATTGACCTGCTTTACACTCTGTTTTCCTTTAAATTTCTAAATCAAATGCATCAAGTAGTGTTGGCCTGCCTCCCGGGATGGGGGGGTCCCAGCCCAGGGGAGACTCACACACCCAGGAAGCTCCCCAAACGCTGCTCCCCCGGAAGCTCCCCAAACCCCAGATGGCTGTCTGCAGAGATGGCCCTCTACGGAGGTGACCGGGTGGGATGGAGTCCCGGGGGTGGGAGCCCAGGGGTGCGCAGGAAAGGACCCGGTGAGGAGCGAGGCCCAGGGCCCACCCTGCAGCCCTGGCCCCGGCCTCCAGCCCCCAGGCCATGACAGGTCAGCGTCTGTTGCTGAAGCTGTTGTCCGCGGGGCTCGTCAGCTGAGCTGAGACCCCCCACAGCCCTGGGGCCATGCTCCCCACCCCTCGCAGTCAGGGAGCCGGACAGTCCTGAACCTCGTGGGAACACATGCTCACACCTGGCCTGTAGGAGCAGAAAAAAGATGGAGCATTTCTGGAAAATAAACTGGCAACCGAGTCAAAAATATTTATAATAGTGTTTTCATTCATCGCCACATATTCCTGAGAGGCATTCATGCAAGACCATATCATTTAAGAAGTTAATGACCTGGAAAAATCCTCAAATGTATGTTTACATAATACACGATGCATATGTTAATAGAAAAACCTGAAAACTAATGCTTGATGTTAAACTACAGTCACAGGAAGGATGGACTGAAACGCATTTTTACTTTCCCTTTTATGACTGAGCTTACGTTTCTGCATAATGTGTGTGTGTTTTATTTTTATAACCAGTGGAAAAAACTCACCAAAACTGGTAAATGTTTTGCGTTTAAAAACTAAGCAGTGACTTAAAGATGGCAGTGAAAGCGAGCTGGGCTCTGTAGCCGAGTAGTGCACGCAGCGATTCCCGGAGAGGTCTGGGGATACGTGAACGTGGGCATGCCCAAACCTCGAAGAGTCAGGATTAGGATGTGTATACTGTGAAATACTGTGTATTTTAAAAAATAAGAAATATATACTTTGTTGATCGCTAATCTTTCCCATTCTATAGAACGGGAAAGACTAGCGGTCTCTTCAAGAAAATTAGAGATACCAACAGAACATTTCATGCAAGGATGGGCTCAATAAAGGACAGAAATGGTGGGGACCTAACAGAAGCATAAGTTATTAAGAAGAGGTGGCAAGAATACACAGAAGAACTGTACAAAAAAGATCTTCACGACCCAGATAATCACAATGGTGTGATCACTCACCTAGAGCCAGACATCCTGGAATGTGAAGTCAAGTGGGCCTTAGAAAGCATCACTACGAACAAAGCTAGTGGGGGTGATGGAATTCCAGTTGAGCTATTTCAAATCCTGAAAGATGATGCTGTGAAAGTGCTGCACTCAATATGCCAGCAATCTGGAAAACTCAGCAGTGGCCACAGGACTGGAAACGTGTGTTTTCATTCCACTCCCAAAGAAAGGCAATCCCAAAGAATACTCAAACTACCGCACAGTTGCACACATCTCACACACTAGCAAAGTAATGCTCAAAGTTCTCCAAGCCAGGCTTCAGCAGTACGTGAACCCAGAACTTCCACATTTCAAGCTGGATTTAGAAAAGGCAGAGGAACGGGAGATCAAATTGCCAACATCTGTTGGATCATCAAAAAAGCAAGAGAGTTCTAGAAAAACATCTGCTTCATTGACTACACTAAAGTCTTTGTGTGGATCACAACAAACTGTGGAAAATTCTTCCAAGAGATGGGAATACCAGGCCACCTGACCTGCCTCCTGAGAAATCTGTATGCAGATCAAGAAGCAACAGTCAGAACCAGACATGGAACAACAGACTGGTTCCAAACCAGGAAAGGAGTACATCAAGGCTGTATATTGTCACCCTGCTTATTTAAGTTATATGCAGAGTACATCATGTGAAATACCAGGCTGGATGAAGCACAAGCTGGAATCAAGATTGCCGGGAGAAATATCAATAATCTCAGATATGCAGGTGACACCACCCTTATGGCATAAAGTGAAGAAGACCTAAAGAGCCTTTTGATGAAAATGAGGAGAGTGAAAAAGCTGGCTTAGAACTCAACTTTAAAAAAACAAAGATCATGGCATCTGGTCCCATCACTTTATGGTAAATAGATGGGGAAACACTGGAAACAGTAACAGACTATTTTCTTGGGCTCCAAAATCACTGCAGTTGGTGACTACAGCCATGAAATTAAAAGATGCTTGCTCCTTGGAAGAAAAGCTATGACCAACCTAGACAGCATATTAAAAAATACAGAAATATTACTTAGCTGACAAAAGTCCCTATAGTCAAAGCTATGGTTTTTCCAGTGGTCATGTATGGATGTGAGAGTTGGACTATCAAAGAAAGCTGATTACCGAAGAATTGATATTTTTAAACTGTGGTGTTGGAGGAGACTCTTGAGAGTCCCTTGGACTGCAAGGAGACCAAACCAGTCCATCCTAAAGGAGATCAATCGTGAATATTCACTGGAAGGACTGATGCTGAAGCTGAAGCTCCAATACTTAGGCCACCTGATAAAAGAACTGACTCATTGGAAAAGACCCTGATGATGGCAAAGATTGAAGGTGGGAGAAGGGGACAACAGAGGATGAGATGGTTGGATGGCATCACCGACTCGATGGACATGGGTTTGGGTGGACTCCGGGAGTTGGAGATGGACAGGGAGGCCTGGCATGCTGCGGTTCATGGGGTCACAGAGCCGGACATGACTGAGCGACTGAACTGAATTGTGCTGGCTAGTTCATCTCATTGAAGGAAATGGCAACCCACTCCAGTGTTCTCACCTGGAGAATCCCAGGGACAGGGGAGCCTGGTGGGCTACAGTCCATGGGGTCGCAAAGAGTCGGACACGACTGAGCAACTGAACAGCAACAAAAACATTGTAGACAACACGTGGTCCCCTTGTCCACCTGCGGAGTCAGCTTCCTGTCTGAGGGGCCCCGGCTCACGGGCCCCACCCCACCACCCTGGGCGGTGGTCTCAGGAGGACCCGGCAGGGCTGCCACCCCCACCCCACGCCACGTGAGGACGCAGCCAGGAGGGGCCTCCCCGGAACCAGCCCGCCACCCCCAGGGCTGCCGCGGACGTTTCAGACCCGGGCAGACGGGGAGCCCTAGCAGACAGGCCGGCGTCTAGCCCTGGAAGGAAGTCGGAGTGTAGAACCTTGGGGGGTGGGGGGACAGCGCATCCTGCATGCTGGCCCTCCAGTAGATGGACACCTGGCGCCCCTCTTCCAAGGCTGTGTGACCCCGGCCCCCTCGGCAGACACGGAAGGCCCCAGCTTTGGGGGACCAGAGCTGTGCAGGGAGCGGTGTGAGGAGCGAGCCCCCAAACCCAGCTATACCAAGTCCCCTCCGTAAGGAGCAGAGGATGAAGCCAGAGGCCGAGGCTCCGGGTCACCTAAGTGCGCTCCTGCGAGCCTCTTCGGCCTGAGCTCCTGGGAGAAGCAACATTGGGGTCCCCGGGGGAGGAGGGAGACCCCCTGGGCTCAGCCTCCTGAGATGTGCCCTCCCCCCTCCGGAGGGTTTCCCTGGTGGCTCAGCTGGTGAAGAATCCGCTTGCAATGAAAGAGCCCCCAGTTAGATTCTTGGGTCAGGAAGATTCCCTGGAGAAGGGATAGGCTTCAGTCTTCTTGGGTTTCGCTGGCGGCTCAGATGGTAAAGAAACCGCCTGCAATGCAGGAGACCATGGTTCGATCCCTGGGTTGAGAAGATCCCCTAGAAGAGGGCATGGCAACCCACTCCAGTATTCTTGCCTGGAGAATCCCCATGGACAGAGGAGCCTGGCGGGCTACGGTTCACGGGGTCACAAAGAGTCAGACACGACTGAGCATCTAAGCACAGCAGCTCCCCTCAGCATCCCCCCGCGAGGAGCCAGGTCTGGAGGAACAGTGACGCTCACGGCCCCAGGTGTGTCTGAGGTCTGTGAGGTCGGGCTCTGCTCCCAAATACGTGCAAATCAGCAAACAACACGGCCTGTGCGGCACCCCCACTGCCCGTGCTCACGTTTCTGCTTAACTTCACCTCCTTACTGTGCTATGCTTACTCGCTCAGTCGTGTCCGACTCTGCGACCCCATGGACTGCAGCACGCTAGGCTTCCCTGTCCATCACCATCACCCAGAGCTTGCTCAAACTCACGTCCGTTAAGTCGGTGATGCCAGCCAACCATCTCATCCTCTGTCGTCCCTGTCTCCTCCTGCCTTCAATCTTTCCCAGCATCAGGGTCTTTTTCAATGAGTCAGCTCTTCGCATCAGGTGGCCAAAATACTAGAGTTTCAGCTTCAGCATCAGTCCTTCCAATGAATATTCAGGACTGATTTCCTTTAGGATGGACTAGTTTGATCCCCTTGCAGTCCAAGGGCTCTCAAGAGTCTTCTCCAACACCACAGTTCAAAAGTATCTATTCTTCAGCGCTCAGCTTTCTTTATGGTCCAACTCTCACATCCACACATGACTACTGGAAAAGCCATAGCTTTGACTAGACAGACCTTTGCAGGCAAAGTGATGTCTCTGGCTTTAATACGCTGTCTAGGTTCACGAGCCACATGCCACCCCCCAAGTGCTGCACACCTTTAAAGGGAGGACACATCTGTCAAGTAACATGTTGAGACACTCAACAAGCAGTGTTCCTAGGTCCACATGGACAGCTCAGCTCCCAGGCATGTGCTCCTGGGAGCAAATCCATAAACCACCACCCTCTCTCGGACTGACGACGCCCGCAGGAGAAGCCGCCCCTGCTCCAAGGTTCCCTCCCCTTCTCCGCAAGAAGGAGGGGCAGCGCCCAACCCTGGGGGTTGGTGGTGTTGTCCCCCTAAGTCCAGCATTCACCCACACGGCGAGGCCTGGGTTCCCTCCGTGCCTGGACACACGTCAAGACCAATGTGGAAGTGATGACATATCCATTTCAACATGAAGAGTTTTAATCCAGTTTAAAAGAATACCCAAAGCAAACTGCCCTTCAAATCTGAGGCTAATTCAGGGTTTTTCTATGATTATAACAAATGAGATATAATTGTATCTTAAAATTGTTGGTTAAAAATACAAACGATATACCAATTCTTGTTAAAATTCAAAGGCTTGATTGTAGAAGACATTTACTGTAGCGAGTTAAACCTAGAAATTGCACGTGGAACAGTGCCGACGCAAGAAACACAGACATTAACTGTGCACATGCGCACTCGTCAGACGACGGAGGCAAACGGGGCGACTGGAAGGACGCACAGGCACCAGAATACGAGGCGACTCCAAACCACCAGCAGAGTGCTACGGCAGCTGCTTTATTTTGAAGAAAGAAGTGGCTTAAGCGAGCGCATGGCCCCCAACATGCCAGCTCCCCCCCAGCCCCCCGTGTTTTGGGAGAAAAGTGGGTGACCTCCCACCCATCCTGTCACCCACTGTCACACGTCTGCACAGGGCAGGTGTGGCCGCACCCGGCGCCTGTTTAGAGCCCGAGAATCAGGCAGGAAGTGGCTGTATTTGGGGAGATGAAACGCACTGGTCAGAGCTGAAGGCTGGAGCTGGTGGGGGGCCACTGACCCCTGACCCCGAATCAGAGAAGTGAATCACCTGCCCAGGTTTCCAGCTGACTGCGCGTGCAACCAGCTCCATAGCTCCATCCATTAAAATGCATTCTGAAGCAGGAGAAAGAGACAGACTCCGTGCTGCGTCACGAGGGGCCGCTAGGCCGTCCGCGCCAGGAACTCCAGGTACTGTGTCCGGGCCTCGAGGTGGTCCGACGGCCGGTTGTACGGCGTCCACACGGGGTCTCCCACGAACAGCCGCATGGCCTTCACGTAGTTCTAGGGCGGCACAGACACGGCGGCGCTGGTTACGCAGCCGTGAGGTCCCGCCCCTGCTGCTCGCCCCCGTCTCACACGCGCGCCTCTGAAAGGCAGGAGGGCCCGCGCTCTCGGTAAACACACCGCCTTGCACGCGGGCCCCTCCCGCCGCACGGTTAGAAACCTGCACCCCTGTCCAGCCAGGGTGCACTTCGGGGGTGTATCCTACAGGGGAACTCTCAGCGGGCCACGACGGCAAACGCGTGAGGCTCTTTATCCCGGCGCCGTTTACACAGCAGAGAACTGGAGACCGCTGGCGGACCCATCTCCAGGGGCCTCCACTCAACGCAGTAAACTACAGTGTGTCCCAGGGTGGCCAGCAGGCAGCTGCACACAGGCAGAGGCTTTCTATGTGCCGACAGGAAACCATCCCAAAGCCCAGCGAGCAGAAAAGGGGGACGCCACCGCCCCGACCGAAGCCCGCCGCCTCCTGTGCATGACACGCTTGCCTGCCAAGCCAAGTCTTCTTGGAGAGTCCAAGAAGACTTTTGAGGACCTGATCGCAGCCAGCTTCAGGGAGAGACGCTGGGGCCAGGAGTGGGGCGACCTTCCCCCACACGTCCTCTCCAAGTCCTGAGCTTTAAGCCGAGCACACCCGTTTTCTATTCTAGAACCACCCCTGAGTCTCAGGTCAGTCCCAAGCCCACGGAGGGAGCTCCAGACCACCCTTCTCCTGCTTCTGTGGCCGTGTCCACGGCTCCAGCGCCCGACGGCTGAGGCCCAACGGACGTGCTCTCGAATGATGAAGGAGCAGGGACCCCTGGAGGGGCGCCTCCCGTTGGCCTGGGCACGTGCCCGAGGGTGCAGGCTCCCCTGTGCCCCTGCAGACCCCGGCCCCCGCGAACCCCTGGCGGCTCGCTGAGGCAGCATCCTCGCCTAGTGCTGCCGGGGCTGAGCCTCCGACAGGCGCGCAGAGCAGACTCCAGCAGAGCGGCCGCGAGCCCACCTTCTCATCCAGCGTGAAGCGGTGGTAGATGCCGGCAGGCAGGGTGATCATGTCCCCCTTCTCCATGGAGATCCGGATCCACCGGTCCTCCTGGTCCCGCACGTCAAAGTACCCGCTGCCGTCCAAGATGTAGCGGATCTCCTCGTCCAGGTGTAAGTGTTCCTCAAAGAACATCTTGATCTGGGATGGGGGGAGCTCTGTGAGTTGGGGGCCCCCTGGGGTGAGGTGGCTGGAACCACCCCTGCCCCAGCGTGGACCACCCGGCCTGCTCCCATGAGATGCGAAGGCACATGGTCACCCCTGCAGGGCAGAAGCAGCGTGTGCATCTGCGGAAGGCGCTCAGTAAAGCCTCCCGCTCACCCCAACCTGGCCTGTGTCTTTCGGGGCTCTATCCTCTAACGTTTCATGATAAAAATGCTCGAATGTGCACAAATGTCGGAAGCATTCTCCAGTAAACACCCATGCAACCGTCACCTCTAACTGGTCTTCTGACGATTCCCCACCTCTGGCCTCCTGCCCCGGGGGGGTTTCAAAGCTCTCCTCACGTAGTGCTTCCACCCTTCTGAACAATCCACAGATGTTTGGAAAATCCCCATTTCCAGTGAGAACAGCAGCCTCTCGGGCGAAAAGGCCGTGGGGACAGGTCCCCGCCCTGCTGGGCACACAGCCCCTGGGGGGTGGGCACGGCTGGATACGCACGGACCCGCAGCCCGTCTAGGAATCTGCCCCGAAGATACACCTCCAACAGCACAGAAAGACATGCCCGCGCCACTCCCTGCCGGGGTGTTTGCCACTGAGGGACGCTGGAGACGCCCGGAAGGCCGGGGCAGAGCGCGGTGGCAGAGCCAACGCGCACGCGGGCTCCGACAGCAGGGCGCGGCACGGCACGGGCAGCCACGGGGAGCCGAGGGGCCTTCGGGTGGTCTTCATTTTAGAGCCTGGCTATGGCAGCCCACTCCAGGACTCCTGCCTGGACTCCAAGCACAGAGGAGCCTGGTGGGCTACAGTCCGTGGGATCGCAGAGAGTCGGACACGACTGTGCACTCACCTTCACTTTTTCCCCTTTAGTTCTTACAGAGTCATAAGTAAAAACAAAACAAGCTTGGGGATGGGGGAAGGGGGGACCTTAAATCTGGAATCAAGCCACATGCTCACAACCACAGGAGGAAGAGAAAACTCACCTAAGTGCTTTTGAACACAGTACTCTGACTATATCCTCAGTGAGACAGGACCGCGACTCGCCTGGAACTCCACGGACAGGCCTGCTGATCCTAACGGTGTGGACGCAGCCACCACCGGGAACCGTGGTGTGTGTGGGAGGAGAGAGACCCGAGGATGGGCCGAGGGAGCCCCGAGGGGCATGAACACCCTGAGCCAGGAAGCACGGAGGGGCCGGGAACACGGCAGGGACGCGGCAGGACCGCGGAGAGGGCCCGCCCCACGCCCCTCCCCGCCGAGTCTGGACCAATCTGAACGTCAAGGTGGATAGCGGCGGGCATGGACACGGGCCCACGAGGAAACCGAGAATCCGCACACCTGTACCGAGGGGCGTCGACAGGAGAGAGCCAGGCCAAGTCAGTACAGGAAGATGAGGGCTGGAGGGACGCGGTGACGGGCTCAGGGCAGAGTCAGCGAGATCCACCGAGTCCGAGCTTGACGCCGAGCAGAACATTCACAGGCAGAAAGTGACTCCCCACAGACGTCTTCCTTAGAGCGGGGCGAGTCGGCCGGCCACAGCGCGGAGCCGGCTGGGCACCAGTTTAGCCAAGTTTCGCATCCTGGGCTCTGGGACCCCCACCCCTCCCCGGGCACAGGCCTCCGGGTGGGGTGCCCTGAGCAGGCACAGCGCCCCTTCCGCAGGATTCCTGCCCAAAATGTGTTAACCTAAGACAACCGTGAGGTCACCAGATAGCACAGAAGTGTGCTTTACAAGAACAAGAGATAAGCTGGTATTAGGGATGGTATTTTATTTCAGGCGAGAAGCCGTTCTAGAAGGTGGTAATGATAAGAATAATCTAACAGCCAGGATTTACAATAGTCAAGCCCCTTCTATGGAAAGAAGGGCGCTGGTGAGAAGACAGGAAGTCAAAAATTCCAAGTAAGAACATGTAATTTCAATCTAAGAGGATATCAGGACTTGCAGGCACTCAGTGAGAAATTTCGTCCTTTTGTAAGGTGTTATAACGTCTGTACTCCAAGCAGCAAGAATCGTCTGGGACAGAACAGAGTAAAGAGATAAACCCCACAGAAAACATCTGTGTTTTAGCAATCTGGGTGTTACTGCCCCACTCCCATTCTTAGGGCAAGGTGCTAACACACAGAAGACACCCAAGCTAGCGAGGGACAGTGTGGGTGGAGGCAGCCTTCCTGGTGGTCGGTAAAGACTCTGCACCAGGAGGACTGGGTTCTGGGCCTGGCTTTACCAACACAACCCGGGGAAGAAGAGGTCCTCACCCCCTCCAGGTGTCCACAGGTAAGAAAAAGAGGCTACACTGAGTGGCTTAAGGCCGTAGCCTCATAGTTTGTGGCTCAGCATGATGGAAACAGCAAGTCTTGGGAGCGACACAGCTGGCAAAGCTCATCAGGACAGAAAAAATTCGGAAACTACTGCTGTTGTCACGGCCGTTTCTAAAGGAGTCACCTTATTCCCGAAAAAGCAAAGACAACGATTTCAAAAACAAGGCTGTCCTTGAACTTGAACACATTCAGCCTCATTACAAACTCTGCACGTCTGCTTTCTCACTTGGCCAAAGATGAGTGAGTTTCTCTAGTAACAGACACCTGGGAACCAACACAAAACCAAGAATTTTAAAAAAACACACTGACTCCACTTCCATATAAGATGGGGCAACAGAAACTGGATCTCCCCTCCCGCCTCCAATAATCAAAGCAAAGACAATATACAAACTGATAGTTTGCAAAACACCAGACACCAGGAGAGGGAAGAAAGTGGCCGGGGAGGCAGAAAGCCAGTGAGGTGAGCCCCACACTTGCGAGCTCTCGGGCTGTGGCGCTGGGAGGGGGGACCCAGGCGGAGCACCCTGAGCTGAAGAGCAGGACTGAGAACCTGGGGAGCTGGCGTGCAGGACACAGTGCCCTAGGAGAGAGACCCCACAGGGGAGCCCTGAGGCCTGCAGAGGGCCTCCCCCGAGGGCTCCCCGCCCCGTCTGTGCACGCGGAGGGAAAGGAGCTGCAGCTGGAAAAGAGGCACTGGGACCCTCGGGGTCCGAAGGAACAGCCCCCGGCCCAGCCGGCCTGGGAGCAGAGCCCGTCCCGCCAGTCAGACCGGAAAAACCTCACCATCCCAGGGGCTTTGTGTGGCGTACCAGAGCGGCCTGGGGGCTACAGCCCGTGGGATCGCAGGAGAGCCGGCCTGACGGCTAAACAACACCCAACACCACTCAAGCATCCAGTTGTTTCCGATAAGCTTGCATGCACTCCAGAAGAAAACTGAAGAACATTTCTACTGGTACAAAAGTACCCGGCATCCAGGAGAATAAATCACAGTGTCTGGCCTCCAGTCAATAATTACCAAGCACGCAAAGAACAAAACATGACCTTTAGACACTGAGACAAGGCTTTGATCCCTGGGTCGGGAAGATCCCCTGGAGGAGGAAATGGGAATCCACTCCAGTGTTCTTGTCCGGGAAGTCGCATGGACAGAGGAGCCTGGTGGGCTACAGTCCACGGGGTCACAAGAGTCGGACCCCGGACTTAGCGACTGAACAAACAAAAACACCACATGGCTTCACTGGTTAATCTGCCAAACATTTAAGAAAAAAGTAAAAGCATTCTAGACATACTCTTCCAAAAAACTGAAAAGGATGGAATACTTTTCAGCTTATTCTAAGGCCAGTATTCCTCTCATATAAACCAAAATGAAAGACATTTAAAAATAAGGAAAGGCTTGCATTTATTAATGTGTGTGTGTGTGTGTATCCGGAATAATCATATTCCACATCTACTGTATTAATATCATCTGGTCCTTTGTCAATCCTAAACTCACCTTTCTTCCCCTCCTTTCCCAATTTCTTGTCATGCTTTTCCCACTTTCCCTAAAGGCTAAAAACTGCAGTTGTGTGGAATTCCCGCCTGCCTTCTCTCCAACAGCCCTTCCAGGGAGATTCCATTGAAACGCCACGCTTCCAGTCCCAGCACCAGGAGTCCGGGGAAGCTCCGATGGCCTGACGCCTGTAACGGGCACCTCCCCGCCACCACCATGTGCTGTCCCCTCTGCAAGCCTGCCTGACCTTTGTGTCTACGGCACCTCTATGGTGACTTCGTTTCCCCGAGCCAAAACACCTGAAGCCCTCTGAGCCCACAGATAAAACCCAGGCTCCTCAGGCAGACAAGGGGCTTTCTACCGGCTGGCCCCAGCTGCTTTTTCTTTCTTTCCTTAAAATTTTACTCATGCGTTTCTGGCTGTGCCCGGTCTTCACTGCTGTGTGCAGGCTTCGTGGAGCTGCAGCGAGCCGGGACGTGGGCCTAGGCGTTGCAGTTCCCCGACTACAGAGCACCGGCTCGACAGGTGTGGCGTCCTTGCCCCAGACACGTGAGAGCTTCCCAACCAACCTGCGTCTCCAGTGTCAGCAGGCGGTCTCTACCTCTGAGCCACCAAGGAAGCCGGAGACGTGAATTTCTACATGACCACTCCCCACATGAGCAGACCCACACAGCGCACGTGTGCCCCACACCGTGTACCTTCACATCGCCCGTGAGAGCTTCCCACGCCCTACGGCGTCACCGATACACAACAGGCAAACATGCGCAGCTACCGTCCTGCTCAAGATTAAGTCATCATAAAGGACAAACAGGCCCAGGGCACTGGCGGGCGCAGTAAAGAAGTCTACCCGGGGCCTCCCTGGGGGCTCAGAGGGTAAAGCGTCTGCCTGCAGTGTGGGAAACGCAGGTTCGATTCCTGGTTCGGGAAGATCCCCTGGAGAAGGAAATAGCAACCCACTCCAGTACCCTTGCCGGGAAAATCCCACGGATGGAGAAGCCTGGTAGGCTGCAGTCCACGGGCTTGCAAAGAGTGGGACACGACTGAGCAACTTCACTTTCACTTTCAAACGAGTCTACAGGCGACTCCCTGGAAAAGACCCCGATGCTGGGAAAGATTGAAGGCGGGAGAAGGGGACGACAGAGGATGAGACGGTTGGATGGCATCACTGACTCGATGGGTAAACTCCGGGAGTTGGTGATGGACATGGAGGCCTGGCGTGCTGCAGTTCATGGGGTCCCAAAGGGTCAGACACGACTGAGCAACTATACAACAAGTTTAATTCTAACAGTCCTGGGTCCTCCCATCCACAGAACTGGGAGGTAGGCGGCGCCCGACTCCATCTGGCGGAGGAGCTGAAAACACAGTCTTACTTTATCCCTGGCCAGTGTCCACTCCGCCTCCAAAACTGTCCCGTGGACAGCGAGACCAAAGATCAGGAGTCTGAACAGACGGCGCCTCCCGTCGAGCCGCGCCCCCCACCCCAGGGAGACGCACAGGGACCCCCAACCGCCCTCCGGCCTCCCCGCCCGGCCCTCGAGGGCAGGCCCGCGCCCACCGGGTCCCGGCCTCCCACTGAGGCGGCGGGGACCCGCGGACCCCGGGCCCCCCTCTCACTCCGACCCCTCCGCCCTCCCCCCCG